AAGGGCCCGAGGATCAACGTCCCCAGGGCCCGGTCTCTGACCAAGCCTCCTGCGGTTGGTCGTCTAGTCAACCAGACTGTTGGACGCAGGTGTGATTTACCTACATTACATTATATGCATAAATAATGTCATTGACTTTCTTAACATTAATAGCCCAAAAAGTTGCAAGTAGCGAGATTAAACATTTAGGAGCGCCGAGTTGTCAAAAGTAGCCCAATCCGCTACTTTTAGCCCAATCTGGCAACATGTCAAACACATTGTGGTCGGCCACACTAACCTCTGCATTTTACAATCATTTTGCCCCAAGAGTGTAACACTTATATGCTGTGCTTGCTATATTAACCTGCAATGTTAAATGTGATTCTTGTACTGTGATTTGTGGATTTGTACTTATTGGATTTATGCGCCCCTTGAGGGACTTGAAGTAGAGGATGGTAGAAATGGCCTAGGCTACTCTATCCTTTTGAGATGTATTTTATTGTCTCAATAAACGTACTTGAACTTGAACCTCGGAGAGGGATTAAGAGACGCTGAGTATATTTTTACCGGATTTTTAGTGAAAGTTTTGTAGATAATCCTATCATATCCTAACTTACCGGAGGACCCATGAACAGAAACGATTCATTATGTCAATTTCGCGAGCCGCTATCATTTTCTAGTAAGACAAATAAAATCAAAATCAAAATGTTTATTCAGGTAAAAGTACATACATAGAAGATGAGTTACAAACATAATGTTAGATTTATAGATAAAGCTAGTACATACAATACCTAAAGCCACTAATACGCACAGCGTTTCGGGCAAGCCAAGTTTTTGACCTTAGGTAAAGAATACGTCAAAATGCGACGTGCTATTAGGACGGGTTGTGCATGCAGCCCGTCCTCTCATGTGTTCACAACATCACTAAACTGTTGAACTAAATTGCCCGAACCGAGGACCTACGATTATAAAACGGGACATTACGTCGATTTTTGCGAACTGATGAAATCAATTAAAAATGAAATCAATTTACACAACGCTATAAATGCTTCACCTACGTGTTACAAATACAAATAATCGCAAACAGAACCTAAATATTTAACCTAACCTAACCTAACCAATGCCTAAATATACACACATTAAGTATATAATGTAAACCGATTTTCATTCATAAACTGGGGGTTTGGCGGGTGCATGGAATGGACTTTGGCTTTTGTTTATGAGGACAGGCTGTTACACACGATTCTCAACTTATGACGTTCGAACATTTCTTGAACAGTGTTTCACTACCGACCTCTGTTCGAATCGCAACTCTAAACGCTTCAATCACGTACTTCAAATCAGCCCGTCCTCCAAACAAAGATCCAAAAGTGATTCCATGCACCCGCCAAACCCCCTGTTTATGAATGAAAAGCGGTTTACACACGACTCACAACTGCTGACGTTCGAACATATCCGGAACAAGTGTTTCACTGACGAATTTTGTTCGACTCACAACGCTATAAATGCTTCACCCACGTACTACAAATACCAGCCCGTCCTCCAAAGATCCAAAAGTGATTCCATGCACCCGCCAAACCCCCTGTTTATGAATGAAAAGCGGTTTACACACGACTCACAACTGCTGACGTTCGAACATATCCGGAACAAGTACTTCACTGACGAATTTTGTTCGAATCACAACGCTATAAATGCTTCACCCACGTACTACAAATACAAATAATCGCCAACAGAACCTAAACACCTAACCTAACCTAACCTATGCCTATATATGCACAATATGCTAATATATTATAATATTAATATATACTTGAGAAAATTCCCGTTTTGAATGAACAGCATATTAAAATTTATGAATGCGTCTGTGGGGTCGACCGCTGTATGTAATGGACTTGAGTCGAGGACGGGTTGTTCAAATACATAATCGCCAACAGAACCTAAACACCTAATTTAGCCTATGCCTAACTATACATAGAATTAATATATAATAATATTAACTTATGCATCAAAGCAAACTTATTTTTAATACACAGTACGTTACAATTATTGAATACGTTTAGTGGGGGGGGGGACCTTGCCTGAGGACAGGGGATGTTTACTGTAACGCAAATGCATTACTAACAAAAGCAAGACAACTAACGTAAGCTATCCTTGGCCAAAGTATATACAAAACTGTAATATATAAGAGTATTTATTTATATTAATTTTTTTACATAGCACGGAAACAGGTTAGTCATGTGCCTTTGGAGATGGTCGCACCTTGGACGAACAGACTGAGGATGGGTTGCATGATCGACATGTGTCATAAGTAAATATCTGACATATATAAGTAAATATCATAAGTAAATATCTGATTATATATATATATATATATATATATATATATGCAGAATAACCACACGTGAAAAATAGAAATGCTATGCTAATAGAAAATGCTATTAGAAAATTGCATTTTCTATTTTTCACATGTGGTTATTCTGCATACTTGGATCAGTGTTTTTGTGATCATTGCTGCATATATATATATATATACCGTAGTACTAAAGTTTGATTGCATTCACACATGCCAGCAGCTACAGCTGAAATCCAGGCATAACCTTTGATTAATCACTATAGCGGAGAGGGGTAAGGGGGGTAGAAATAGCCTAAGCTACTCTATCCCTTTGAGATATATTTCTTTTTTATCTCAATAAATATACTTGAACTTGAACTATAGTGGAAAGCACTTCGATATTAGAGAATAAGGTAGAATATGTTAAGCGACATGCATTCAGTAGTTGTTTTCTATGAGGATTTTTTACAAGAGTCAAGTTTATAGACTTTTCAAACTTGGATACATAAGCAAGGGAAATGCTTGTTCTATCTTGGGTTGGCACCCCACCTCTGAACACCTGCAGGATGACATTTTCGAACAGTCATTGCTATATGTGTGTGTTTTCTGTAAATTGTAAGTGTAACAAAATGAAAAATAAATCATATTGTATAAAGTAATACAAAAGTAGGGGTGGTAGGAGAAGTTAAAACTCAAGTGTCAAAGGAGAATGTATAAGGTCTTCTCTGGATACCTTTATTCTCTTCTCCAAGGCTATGGGTCCCTATAATTGCCGAAATTTTGATTTGGTCAGTTATGATTCATGAGACATTACATAAGATGGAATTTTACCTAGTTAATGCTATTTAAAAACTACAATAATATCAAACTAACACTGGCTACTGCATTTACTTGGAAAGAGCGATACAATGGTAATAGCATTTGTACAAATTTAATTTAACATATAGTATATTTGCTCATCAAGCGTATATTATTTCATTACTCTTGCAATCATATTTCATTGTGCTTCATTATTTCGTTACTCTTGCACTTACAAATTGCTGGACTACTGAGAAGTATGCAGGCGATGAGTCACAATAACGTGGCTGAAGTAAGTTGACCAGACCACACACTAGAAGTTGAAGGGACGACGACGTTTCGGTCCTGGACCATTCTCAAGTCGATTGAGAATGGTCCAGGACGGACCGAAACGTCGTCGTCCCTTCAACTTCTAGTGTGTGTACTGAGAAGTAGTTACCAAGGATGAAGGTGACTGCGATCAAGGAAATATTAATCAGAAGAGTTGTTAATTACGTACAATGGCTGTTCATAGGATAGATATCCTTTAAGGTACACGGAGAGACGAAGGTAATGGAGTTACTAATGGTTAGAGTTATGACGGAAGGTAATAAAGTTACTAATGTTGGCAGAAGGAATTAAAAAATACATGGATTATCTTAGTAACAGCTTAGTTTTATTTATTTTAACATTCTTTATTCTGTTCCGAGTGACTATTGAACTATCACTAAAGTAATTAAATACAAAATAAAATGGGTATAAATTGGATAAGTTTAGATTTAGGAAAGACTTGGGTAAATACTGGTTCAGTAACAGGGTTGTTGATTTGTGGAACTAATTGCCGCGTAACATTGTGGAGGTGGGGTCCCTCGATTGTTTCAAGGGCGGGTTGGACATGTATATGTGTGGGATTGGGTGATTATAAATAGGAGCTGCCTCGTATGGGCCCTTAGGCCTTCTGCAGTTACCTTTGTTCTTATGTTCTTAAAATGAGGGTCCCGGTTCGTTCTCGACGCAGAATCGAGAATTCCGGTTCCGAATCCCGGGCGGGACAGAACTGGTTGAGAACATTGCCTTTCACCTAATGCATCTGTTCACCTAGCAGCAAGTAGGTACCCAGGAGTTAGCTTGTTGTGGGGGTTGCATCCTGGGCGGGGTCAGTAATTCGACCTTGAAGAGAGGACCTCGATATAAGCCTAATTTGTATGAATACATACAGGCTTCCTGTCCCCCCGACACAATGAATTATTATGTCTCTCAGCACTTGCAAGGAAGCATATAAATTAAGGACTCGCGCTAGGCCTCTTTACTGTATACTGAACATTGGCATTCATCGAGGAGTTTAATTTATGTTATTAGATATACCATTACTACAAAAGTGCTCCCCCCATATGTTTTACATACAATAATAGTTAGGGCTAATTGGATTTGGAAAAAAGTTATTCGAATTAGGAATTTATGCTTCCATCAAGAAATTACGAGAATTTGTTTATTGGAAAGCTTTTACTGTTTCTTGTTACAGTGTAAGACATAGTTTTGAAATGAAAATAAATTGGAATTCCAATGATTAAAACGTAGTGTTATGAAGTAGTAAGTCAATCCTCAATTAGAAATAAATATATTTTGAAGAGTATCCCCTGGAGTGGGTTTGCGAGGAGGTCCCGCCGCTTGCTAGATGTCGCTCTTGTATTCATAACCATTTTCTGTGACGGACTCATATCTTTACAATGTTTGTTTATCTACGTATATATAGTTATAAACCACATTGAACATAAAATAAAAATATCTGGAATACATGAAAAGTGGTGTATGTAATAGTTGTGTAGGTTTAGAGAGGTAAATTAATATAAAGGTTGAGGTTGTGTTCCAACAATGTGAAGGTGCGGCGGCGGGCGGGCGGCGCCGCCAAGCGACGCAGTAGCGTGTCTGCAGTGCCAAGAGACCGTTAGTAACGTGCGCGACTCAGTTTCAAAATGGCGTTTAACGGTGACGGTCCCTTTAACAAGCGTATGCGCACAGATGGTGAATCTGTGGGGCAAAAGGTAAGCAGTGGCGCTGTTTAATGTGGATAAGTTAGTGTGGGTGCGCCAGTGAAGTGCTTGTAAGGCGATGTTCTCCCCGGCTGGAGAGTGGCGGCGGCGGCGGCCGTTGTTAGTGACCATAGATTGTGGCGGACGTGGCCTCCCTGGAGGCTGCTGCCCCCGCGAGCGCTGCCGTGTTGCGAATGTCATGGTCCTGGAGAGGAAGAGAGAGAGGGAGCTGTACGAGTGAATGTGGGGATCGCCCCCACTGGAGGAGGAGCAGCACCACCACCACGTGGGGAAGGAAGTGTGGTGGTGAGCAGCGTGGTAGTGGCGGCGTCGGCCTAGCCAGCCCCGCGCGCCCACCACACACCTCCACTACCACTCTTTTTGGGCCCACACACACACACCAGCGATTAAAAAAAACACTCATACCCCCCCAAACCCCCCCCCCCCCCTTTACGGTCTTTCACTACAATATCAATCAAATTTGACACTAAACCAAACCATAGGGCCAGAATGTGGTGCCACACGCTAGGCTCACTTGCTCCCATTGTTCCTAGAACTCTTTAAAAAGACTCGTTTAACACTCGCTTCCTCCCACTAAAATAATAAAAAAAATAAAGACCTTGTGGGTATAGTGTACATGGGGGTTTCTATCACATGGCTCATAATGCAACAACACCAAATTATAAACTAATTCTTACCCCTCCCCCCAAAAAAAAGTATTCCGTCCCCTTGCATGTACCGAGAAAAGCATCTCTCCGTCATGACTCCCTCCCCCCTCACTCACTAGCCCCCCCAGCACCCCCCCCCCTATTTCCTCATGCCTCGGGTGAGCGCCACCATGACAGGAATGAGTCATGCCGGTCAGGACATTCTCATGAGAGGGTTTCCACACCGCCTCTCGCTTCCTCCTCCTCCACACGTTTTCCCGCGCAAGCACAGCTTGTCTGAGATTCGTTAGTCCAGCATGACACGGGTGTGATGGATTGGGACACGACACAGCGCGAGGGATAACGCCCCCACGCTAGATAATGATTTGTTACATCCTGTAAACCGGATCCCAGTATCCATGGCTGGCGTCGGGAGTGCCTACCCACCTCTGTATAACAATACACAGGATGCAGGACCACAAACATGCACATTTCATGTGGATTCTGTACTTGCCACTGTGCTTCGCCACGTTCACAGTAGACTAGATTTATGCCACAGGTTGAGAGGGTGGGGGGGGGGGGGGTTATTCATTGGGATATCACCGTAATTCAGTTAACAAAAACTGAAGCAAGCCTCAGTATACTGAATTTATAGTGTTCAGTATATTTGTTCATTAGGGAATGTTGATTGGCCACACCAGACAAACATGTTTGTGCTCAATTCAGTTTAGGTTTGTAAAGTTTACTTTATTAAAAGTACATTAAACACCTTACATTGTATGATTGTTACCTAGCCTTTATATTCAAAATCAAATCTAGAATAAAACTATTTGTTAAATTATAAATATCAAAGCGACCAATTTACAAGCCTAACAATGCATAACAAGAACATGCCAACTATTTGTCTGGACACTGTAACAAGTGGAGCTACTTTGCACAGCATAGGGACACCCACACTTGCTCACCACGTCCATGTTTATATTTTTTTTATAAAATATATTTACATGTTAATTTTTTTTTGTGTACATAACTAACCAGATGTCTCAGCACACTATATGTACCCTGTACCCTTACTATCTACCCGTCCACTATCCAGAACCCATTGTATCCTCTTTAACAACATTGGAACATCTGTACGTCTGGTTTTCATGCTGCCGTGACGGGACCACAGCTGTCATTTTGTCCATCTGTATTTTGTGAAGCAGAATACTTGGTCACATAAGTAGGTTGTGTTTCCGTCATGGATTGATTTAATTTTCCAGGAAGACTGCTCGTTTACTTTCAGGAACACATGTTCGGAGATACTGATGAAATCATAGTTCTGAGGTGTACAATAAATTTTAGGAACACACTCGGCACAATACTATTCCATTTACCTCCATCCAACCCTCACCTTTCAAAGCCCATCCACTCTTTTGTGACGCATTCCTTTACTATCCAGTTGGGTAGCCATTTGAGGCAAGAAGCCCATTCCCTAACACGCTACCCGCTTGTTCCCCCCGACGCCAGTTGTCAGGCTACGGGAAGGTAGGTGACAATTTTATGCTGTTCTCTCATAGTAGCCTATGTTGCTGGCTGTTCCTCTCCTTATGCTGTGGGTAGGGGGAAGATGTCTGCTGCCCCACTACTTGGGTATTACCAGACATCACCTGTCAAGATGTTAAGTTACCTTGGTATGCATAATATTGAAAGCTAGTTTGTAGTAATTGTATTCCCCTTCAAATATTTAATGATGGTTGAATTGAAAACATTCTGGGTTATAATCTAGGTTCTAGAGACTAGTTAACACACAATAATGTTCCTGACAGCTATTTCTATACTACATAATCTAATAGACCCCTTATTGTTTTTTAACTGTACATGAGATTCATAGTATCAATTGTAGAAATCTTATTGTGCCTACATTACTACCTTGAGTATATATTATGAGGAGGAAATTTTATCATTGGTATTATAAGTCTTATTGATGCAAATAGGTAGTGGAAGAAGAAATGCAAGTATATTTTTTGGCAGCATTGAAATACTGTAATGTAGTCCCATCATAGCCTGTATTCTAATGAGGGCTCTCTTGGCCTTTTATCTGATGTATTTGCAATCCATAGGTAACATACGTGGTATCAACTCGTATTTGACTAATAAAATTCACGGATATATTCAGTATAAGGTTCTTTACTGCTAAAGCTCCAGTCTATAAGCTTTGTGGCAATCTGGACATGTGTAGGATATTACCCTGAACAAGTCACTACCTAGTTTTAGTACATCAATGATTTGAATTGCAATGGCTTATTAATATAGATATGAGTATACTAATAGAAATCTAATTTATAGACTACAGATCAAAGTGAGAAATAATTGCATTAGTTAAATTTTTCATACACACTATCGTGCAGCTTCTGCCTCGGGCCATTCTACCCATACACAGCTGCTGCATGTTCTCTTAGCACCTGCTTTTAATTGTATTTCAGTTACTGTCTTTCTGCATTGTGTGAAAATTTTCCTTCTTGCATTCATTAATTCTGCATAGTACAAATTTGCCATTACCAGCTCCTACTTGCCTAAATTGTTGTATGCTCTCATTTCTTTGATTTGTACATCTTGATTCTAATTTGATTCGCCTGGCTCCATAGTTTATGGCCATATTTTTGGGAAATGTTTGGATGCAGGGTAAACACTCGGGATTATCCAATTAGTGCTATGGTATAGTTTTTTCAAGTGGTGCAACACCAATTTGTGTGCAACATATTAGGGTATATAAATTCAACACTTTCCAAGGACATCCTATAACCGATATATATATAATATATACATTTAAAAAGTAAATTTTTTTTTTTAATTGCAACTGTTACTTTGTATCCAATATTGTTCTACTGTATTTTAATAGCTTTGACTGCTTTTGGCAAGATTTGCAATTAGAGGTATAATTTAATTTAATATAGTAGAAGTACACTTAATATAAAAAAGGTTTTCATAATGTAGCTTGTGCAGTAGAGGTAGACTGATACAGTACTGTATTAATTAATATTTTGACTGATACAGATACAATTTTATTAAATGTTACCGCTGCTTAATTTGTCAACTGTGAGCACTGTATTCAGCTTTGTTAATGCTGTATAATGTTTTGTTCAAATACAGTATGTATATGTATCTGGTAAAATAAATATTGAAGTACAGGCATCTGGTAAAAATCTTACTGATATGCCCAGATACCAGTACATTGGTACCCTTCACAAAGTAATATATTCCCTAGAGTTGTACATGCACATCTGTTACTGTAGCAAGTTCTGTGCATTTTAGCATTCATGGTTGTCTTGTTGGACTTTGGTTAACAATTTTCAATAGATTTGCTCCAGGAAGGTTATTTTTAAGGCATTTACAATGAAGGCCTAATTGGTCAGGCTATTGGTGCGTGCAGCTCATAGCCCGAGTAATATGAAAGTACAGTACTTTTTCATTTTTAATGAGAAAATATCTTTTGATGAAAGTTGAAATTTTAGGGTGAATTGATTTTAAAGTTTCTTACCCAACATTAATTTTCTGGGCAACATAATTTTTAGATTAGTAGGGAGTACTATTGTTGGAATCTTTCTGTATCACTGCATTGTACTAAACTAGCCAAATCCATACAAACTTTTTACTTAACTACCCACTCTCTCAAATGAATCGGCTCCACCACTACCATGAATTCCAGGTTAAATTATAATGCAACAAGGCTGTTAGGCTGGCAATAAAGTGCTTGACCTCTTTACCTCCCTTCCCTCCCTCCCTCTCTCCTGTAGTCAGTTACATAAGCACTTACCGGTCATTAAGAGTACAGAAAAGCTTGTAAAATGTAGTTAATTTTGGTACAGTACACATGGAGGAGCAGGACATGTACTCTAGTCGTGAATGACAATAATAAACTAGGAAAACGGTGTGATATATCTTTGCGAAACACCATTGGAGCAAGACTGGGATCAAGCCAGTGTTCTGGGTTACCCAAGATGTGCCTTTGAGTAATTACCTATTGCATATTGTGGTAGTAGGTTAAGGCATGCATGTGGGGTACTCTTGAATGCTGGTTTGATCCCTCCATGTTGCTCCAATGATGACTGGCAGAATAGTCATATCTGACTAGGCAAAAAACAAAGAACGGTACTGTATTGAATAAAGCTGTTGCATTAATATTTGTTAGAAGGAAAATAGCAAGATATAATGTAATTGGGGTGACACAATGTCTAACTTCACGAAAAGTGACGGTGGTTTGAGGAAATATTGAGGTGTCAATAAATAACACTTCTCGAAATATCGAGGAGGAGAGGTGTTACTGTTTGGAAGGAGAGTTCCCTTTCATTGTAATATCAGGCAGTGAGGACTTCTCTGGGGTGC